TTTTGGCTTTCAAACCTGTCGTTGGATTCTGGGGTTGAGATGGTTAGTGAAGTTTAACAAAAGGCTAAATTCAGGGCAGGCAAGGAAGGAGTGATGGATAAAGAGAGACTTGTTTCATGAACCTTTTCTTCCTGGTTGCGATAGTAGTAGAAGACTTTTCCAACCAAAGAACACCACACCAGCTTAGAGTGTCCATGTTTGACCTGAAACACAAAAAAAAACAGCAGCACAGACAACATGAGAAAAGTTCCAGAACAAGACTCTCTAGCAGCAGAAATTTTAAAAATCTTAGATCAAGAGATTTCTAAATCGCTTGACAGACGTTAATCAGGAAATTTCCATGTTTGACCAGCAGACGTCCTGAGAGGGTGCAGGTAGGCGTGCAAACCACTAAGGTTAAGTTTTCACGCGGAAAGCAAAGCGACGACTAATTCCTGCCAAATAAAAACAGTCCATCCACACTCTGGTCTCCTTCTGCATTCAGCTTCATTCTAACCAGCTGGAGGTGATGATTACAATTTCTGACTTCTTTCAGAGAGTTTCAGCAAAACCAATGATGTCACTGGAGGATGCCTTCCAGACAAAGACAGCTGTGCATCCCTCAGCTGGGGTCACAGAGGTTAACTGCACCGTGAGAGGCCGAGCTTCCCCCCCAGTCTGTCTGAACCACGGTCATGTTGGAACTAGAACATCAAAGCCGACTTGCAGGAAGGGTTTCGGGGGGAGAGGTTGGTGAAAGGACGTGAGCTCCATCATCTCAGCTTGAGGCTGTCAGTCACCTGCCAGAGACCCATCACACACACAGCCATCACATGTTAAAGTGTCTTCAGTTTACCAACAGACAGGCCTCAGCAGAGGAAAGAGGAGGAGAGACTGGAAGGGAAGGGGGAAGGAGAGCCCTTTAACATTCCAGCAGCGCCGGTCTTGTGTCCCAACGTGAAAGAGGTTTTCAAGAGTCTGCCAGAGGAGAGCTCCGTCCACCTCAGTGACAAACACACCATCGCCCACTATGGCGGAGGACGTCAGGTTATTTCTGGCATCACCCTGAGAGAGGGTCTGGCTAATCTACACCGCTCACAAGTTTAAGATGGAAATGGTGTAGGGAAGCAAGAAGTTTTAAAAAAAATAAACATCTCACCTAAACTGACACACCATGTAAAAGAAAAAAAAATCTAAGAAATAAACAAAAAAAAAGCTCATTTCAAGACCAACAAGTAAACACAAAAAGCAGGATGTGTTGCATGAAGTCTGATGTAGCAGAAACTTGAGCAGAAACATGAACAATACATTGAGGACAACATAAAGAATTATTTGTGTAGTTTTCTGCTGCTTGTAGCTTCTCAGATGTGAACCATAGACTGTATAAAAGATGGACGTAGCTAC